TCCCTATATGTTGTGTTTTCATACCACCCATCTTGACCTTCTAAAATTATTTTATCCTATGAAATGTCTGTGTATAAAGGTAGTTTATAATGCCCTCTGGTGGTTTTGTTTAGTAGCACAGGTTACTTTCTCTGCTGACAGGTTCACATGCAAACGTAAGAATTGCCATTTACTGGTTCAGACCATAGGCTCATCTTACCCAGTATCTTGTGTCACAGTGGCAGACAGAGGATGCTCAAAGGGAGAGTGAACTGGGTATGACCAGGTTTTTCTCCACTGTTCCTCTCACTTCCAGCCTCCAGCAGTCAAGGTCTAGAAAGTTCTAATTCAGGGTCTGCATCCCTAACTCCCCTGCACAATAGCTACTGATGCCCCTTTCCTCCAAAATTTGTCCAGTTCCTTTTTGAAACTGGTTAAACTATCACATGGCCTATACACATGCACATTCACATTCTAGTTAGAGCGCGCTGGAGCAGCCTCGACTAATCGGACTGAGTCTGCTCCAACATTGTCACTGGAACGTTGCAGGGTCGCCACAGTGCGTTAAGCCCCACATATTAAAAAGTGGCCAGGGGATGCTTTAACTAAACCTTGTCAAATGAGGTTTAGATAAAGTGTCCTGCTGCCATTTTTAAATGCATGGGGGGACTTAATGCATGTGACACTGAAGTGTTTTAATTAGAGCAGGTGCCTGGGATCCACCCTAATTAACACACTCCTCTGAGCATGTGTATAGGCAGCCTCAGTTTCCACAACACCCAGTGGCAAGGAGTTCCATGCTTGAATTAGACACCATGAAAAAAAACCCCTTCCTTTTGTTAGTGTTAAACTTGCTACCTACTAGTTTCATTTTGTGACCCCCTAGTTTTTATTATTAGAGAGTAAATAATAAATGATTTATTTTCTATTTGTCATTTAGTATTTTGTAAACCCTTATGTCCCTCTTCAAGCAGCAATTTTCTAAACTGAATAGGCCTAGCCTCTTTAGTCTCTCCTCATATGGAAGCCCCTCCATACCACTAATCATCCATGTTGCTCTTTTCTGTACCTTCTCTAGTTCTTCTATATCCTTTATGAGGGATGGGGACTAGAACTGGGCATAATATTCAAGATGTGGACGCACCATGGATTTATAAAGGGGCATAATGTTGTTTATAATTTCTGTTGTTTATAATTTCATTCTTAATAATACCTAACATTTTGTTTGGCCTTTTTGGTGGCATTGAAGATCAGCCTGGGAATTCTATCATGAGCATATTCTAGAATCCTTCTTCCTTCACCCTAAACAAAGGATTAAAGTCAAACTTCTGGGGAGGTCATTGCTGCAGAAGGTGCACCTTGCTGAAGCTCAACTACACTTCTAGGGAAAAAATTCAGATAGAATAAATACCTCTACTTTCTAGAACCAGAGTCTATGATCATCAGAATTGATAAGTCTTTATCCTTTGAAGAAATAAGTGACTAAAATGCATTTTTTCTGCTTCTTGGTCTGAAAGCTGAGAGTCCTGAACATGAATATCAATATCCATCCTATGATTTTCAAACAACAAAGTGGGTTTGGTGCTGTTAAGCAAAAGAGGATGGCATTCAACCATAGGCCACTGACCCTGTTGTCAATAACCCCTTTCCTCTGAGGCCCTTGTTAAACATTAATTTTGTGCGACTCCTGGATCTCTTAACCCCTGGACTGTCCACAGGTTAAGTGGCTTAAAGCACTTGTTATGTGGCACAAAGATACACCACTTCAGGGCAGGATGATCTCTGATCCACACGACAAAACTCCTGTTCCACTAATGTGTGGTGGCCCCTCCCCCACCCTCATGTTCTGTGGGTTCTCACACCCCCGGCTGCTTCGTGCAGGGGCCCTGGGACTGGAGCTGCAGCTTGTCTATTCCCCTAGCCTCCAGTCCAGGAACAGTGGCATAGGGCACCTTTCCCCACCAGCACTGAGCCTGTCTGGGTTGGTAGCCACTGCTGGACCCTGCAACTCCTGCCCCCTACCCACCTTCACCAAGACCTGGGGAGTGGAAAGCCCCAGACAGCCCCTAGACCTGGACGAGGCTCCAGGAAGCCCCAAGCTCCAGCCCTGCCGCTCTAGCAGTGCCTTGCTCCATGCACCCAACCCACTCAGCCTGGCAAGAGCTGGCAGTGGGTACTGGAAGGTGGCGGGGCAGCCTGGTGCCAGGGAAGCCACTGCTTCAGGGCAGAGTGGCTATGGGTAGATTGAAGCTGCGGGTATGGAGCTTTGCTGCTGCCCATGTGGATTTTGAAAATTTGACAGACATTAGGGCTGGAAGGGACTTCAGGAGATCATCAAGTCCAGCCCCCTGCCCCAGGGGCAGGAAGTCAGCTGGGGTCAAAGGATCCCAGCAAGATAAACATCCAAATGCTTCTTAAAGGAGTCCAGAGTAGGTGCTTGTACCACCTCTGGAAGGAGTCTATTCCAGGCCTTGGTGGCTCAGACAGTAAAGAAGTCTTTCCTTATATCCAGCCTAAAATGGTCTTAGAGGAGTTTATGACCACTGGACCTTGTCATTCCTTGGGCGCTCTGGTGAACAGATGTTCCCCCACATTCTGATGCACTTATAGGCTGTCACCAGGTCTCCCCTGAGCCTGCGCTTTTCCAGGCTGAAGAGCCCCATGGCTCTCAGCCTCTCTTCATAAGGCCTATTCTCATTTCCTCTGATCATGCATGTGGCTCTCCTCTGGACTCTCTCAAGCTTCTCCACATCCTTCTTGAATTGTGGAGCCCAGAATTGGATGCAGTACTCCAGCTGCGGCCTCACCAAAGCCGAGTACAGTGGGAGGATGATATCCTGAGATTTATTGAGCCAAGAAGTGCATCCAGTCCTCCAGCTGCGGCCTCACCAAAGCCGAGTACAGTGGGAGGATGATATCCTGAGATTTATTTGAGAAGCATCTATGGATGCAAGCCAGAGTTTAGTTTGCTTTACCAGCTGCGACTTCACACTGGTGGCTCATGTTCATCTCGTGGTCAATCATGACCCCTAAGTCTCTTTTGGCCTTGATGCTAGCAAGCGTAGCACTGCAGAGCCTATAAGGGTGCTGTGGGTTCCCCCCAACCCAGGTGTAGTACCTTACATTTGTCGGTATTGAATGTCATCAGATTTGTGTCAGCCCACTTTTTCAGCTTATCCAAGTCAGCCTGGATGGGGGAGCTGACTGCAGATAGACTCCTCTCCCAGCTACAGACTGAAGCCAACTTAGGGGGAGGGGGGTGGGGAGCTGGCTGCACAAGTTGCTGCAGACCCTAGCCCTGTGCCCACTGCTGCCTGCAGCTTCTTGGGGCTGCTGCCTGGGCCTCCCCCAACCCCAGGGGTGTTTCTCCGCTTGCCCTACATGCTACTGGGCTATTTCTGCTGGGCCTGGGGGCACCAAGGTGGAACGGGGGGGCAGGGTGGATATGGAGCAAAGCTAAGGGGTGGGGGCAGGTCAGGAGAGGCAGGGGAGCAGCAAAGCCCCCCTCAGGATGAAGTTGCCTGGGTAGGGTTACCATATTTCCAGTATCAAAAAAAGAGGACACTTGTGGTGGGGAGGGAGGGGGCAGAAGTGGGTGGGGAGGGGAGAGGAGTATATGATTGTGGTGGGGGGGCAGTGATATGCCCATGCCCTGTCCCTGCTACTGGTGCCTCACTCCTGACCTGCAGCTCCTGCCCCCTCAGTCCAGCAGTGCTCCTCAATCCTGACCAGCAGCCCCTTGCCCCCCCCCAGCCCTGCAGGTATCCATCACTCCCGACCTGAAGCCCCCTGCCCCACCAGCCATGCTGCCCATGTAGCTCCCATGCACATACTGCTCACTGCACACACTCTGTCTCTCTTACCTGGGAGCTTGCTGAGGCCCATGTGCAGAGCACATGACCTGCAACAGCCAATCACTTTGCCCACTGCTCCCAGTCCCAAGCAGCTCCAAGCTGCCAGTGTCCAGGAAAGCAGAGGAAAAGCAAAAACCCAGCCATTTGCTCCCATTTTAAAAACCCACCCAGACACGAGGACAGGGGGCCAAAAAGAACACATCTGGGAAAACCCAGATGTATGGTAACCCTATGCCTGGGTGTGGGGAACAGCCAAAGGGACATGTGTGGCAGGGAGAAACACCCAGATGTGTGACAGTGAGCCTGGACAATGTGCATGCCAGGAGCTGGGATCTGGGTGGGTAGTGACCTCTCCATGCAGCACCCTACCCAGTCCCTCAGCCCTGCTCTCAAGGGGCTCTACTGCCTCCCTCCCCTCCCTGCAGTCTAGAATGCTGCTGCTGCAGTGGAACAGGTGAAGCATAGAGAATCATAGAGAAGCAGGTCTGGACGGGCTCTCCCTGCTCACCAGGCCTCTAGTGGCAAGTCACAGCTGTGCAGGTTGGGAACAGTCAGAGAAGGTTTCTAGACTGATAGTTATACCTGCTCCAAACTCCAGGCTAGCTCTAAGCTGATCAACATTTGTGTAGCTCAAAGTACAATGTGTAACAAGGCCCTTACTCTCTGTGATCCAACTCCTCCCTTACTGCCATTAGCATTGGCTCAGTTCTCATTTCTAAAAATGCAAGTAGTTTCTTCAACACACTCTCCAGTTGAACTTGGAAACAGTCCCTCATTTAAAAAGTTATTTTGTCTGCTTTTATCAACAGATAAAACTGTCACCCATTTAAGAAGATATTCTGCCATTTGCTTTGGTTGCTGTAAACAAATGAGGGTGATGATTTGGGATGTATATTTGCTTTTCAGTAACTTTTGGAGATGGAAGTTAAGACCCCACGGAATGGGAGGTTTTCTGTGAGCAACACAAAGATGGAAATGAACAGAGGAAAAGTAGACTGTGTCCTGTGTGGTAGTTTCCTATATTATTTACATGCTATCTAATATTTTGGTTATTTCTGTGGGTAGATCTTTAGAACCAAGAAGGAAACCGCTCTGGCAACTCAAATGGAGAAACTGCACTGCTAAAGCTACTTGTGACAGCCGACACATCTGGCCCATGGGGCTCCTCACAGATTCAGAAATTTCCAAGCCCTGCAGGTGAGATGACATGGCCCTATGTGCTGAACCCAATCAGCGTGTAGGGCTGGGGCCAGAGCCAAGGCAGTGAGACCCAATTTGGCACATGCAGGGCTGCCTCCATGCACTGGCCCTATGCCAGACCAGGCCTATGGATCAATCCTGTGCACTGGATCTAGCCCACAGACCGACCACACGCCACTCATCCACTCCACAGCCTGGAAAAATTGGTCATCACTGGTCTAAAGTGATTGTTTTTTTGTAACCATGTCCCTTTTTTAAAAGGTTATAATACTTTTAGTAGTGATGGCTTATCATTTGGAGGACCTGGTCTGTTTCCAACATGGAAAAAAGTAAATATCAAATGCTCTAAGTTTAGGTTATTGCCATTTTTGCATTAATCTCAAATATAAAAGTTTAACACTACCATAATGAAAACTTTAAAATTGGAGGCCACTGCTGCTTCCAAACAACATACATTGCAACTTTCAAGAAGCTGAAAATAGATTACGGACTTTTTATGTCACTAAAAATGGCAAACCAGTCCAGGCCAATGGCCTGCCTATTCTAGTCCTTTTGTAGATGCAATACATTTTGGGGATGAGGAGGACAGTTAAATCACTGCAGAATTCTGTTTCAACAAATGGGACTATGGGATCTCTAAAATATTTAGTGTACTACTGTGCAATGCCTTAACACACTTACATTGATTACCACATGCTTCTGTAAGAATTCTGACTTGGATTTGAATTAAATGCACCACTATCTTTATTAGAACAATTATTTTAATGCTTCAAGATGTGAATATTTCATAAAATATGCAACAAATAATGCTACATTTAAATCTATACAGATTTACTGTTGTATCATTCCAAGTTTTACAAAGATGTACGTAGATTCAGATTTTGTATAAGTTACCTTTATTTACATGTAATGCTCTCAGCATTAAAGACCTATTCAAAGAATAAAACAAAGTAGGATTTTAAATATCCATTAAGACCCATTATATTTGTTACACAATTTACATGTCTTTACAGAGATGTGCTACACTTTGTTTTTGCATATTTATAAAAACTACCTAAAATAGAAATTTGCTGGGCAAAAGCTATATACCATAATTTCCTCAAATTTCCTCCTTGGTAATAAATTGTTCAAAAGGAAAGGAAACCAGGGTGTGTAGACTTCTATATTTTTCAGAATAGAGTTTGAAATTAATTTTAACCAGCACTTAATCAAAATAACCAGGGCTAACATTGATAACAAAATAATCACATTTACAAAAGACATCACACTTTATATTTATGAAGAACTGATCTACAATAAATTGCACGTTGTTGGCTATGACTTTGGTTATACATTAACAAATTTGGTTTCTAGACTAACAGTAAAGAAATAAAAAATATAAAAATGCAGCTATAGGAACTAGCATAATCTGTAAACATATTATAGGGCCAAATTCTGCCCTGGATACATGTGCACAACTTCCAATGATGTCAGAGAAGTCTGCACATATCAGATTGCTGAATTTGGCCCATACAACCCTGTAAACATGTTATTATTCTGTTGTGCAATACTGCGAGAATGAATAATAAAGGCATCTAAATACCAAATTAACTAATACTCTGTGGCATTCATACAAATTCTGATTTAAGATTTACTTTGCTGCAAAAGTCTTAACTGAAAATATAATTGTTAAACTATATGTTTATCAAAAATGCGACAGACACCCAGGAAACCAATGCCATATATATATATATATATAAAAATCAGACAAAGATTATAATTTCTTATAACTATTCAGAAACATGCTGCTTGTGTCTCATATAAAATTCCTGGTTTTATCAAACTGTATTTCAATAAAACCAAGTTAGAAAGATAAAAAATAAACTTTATAATGAGCAAGTCAACATTCTGCAAGCTGACAGCAAATAGGAAACACAACCACTTTCCACTGTTTTACCCAGTATGCTGAATAGTAAGGTGCTTTGGGCAGATCTGTAATAAACAGCCTGAAGCAGCACAGAATATATTGCAATACACTAAATACTCCTTATACCATTTAACCCCTTCAATTACTGCTCTTAGATCAGCAAGTTTTAAATTTACACTTTTTCTTCACAGTTTCACTTCAGTAGTTTACTGTAGGACAATCTGGTGAATACTGTAGAAGGGCCAACTGCTGAAAAATATATTTAACTGAGCTTGAGGTGGTATTAGCTTATCCAAAGTACATACTGTAGCCACTAACAAGTTTTATAGAACTATGGAAGTGCCAAAATGTGCTTTAAAAATAGGGAATTTTTTCAACACGAATTTGATAAATGAGAGTTTGAAAGTTCAATAGCCAAATAACTGAATACAACAGTAGCTCCCTTTTATCTTAATTTTGTTTGTAAACCCTTAGAAAGAAATGTCAGAAAGTTAATTCAAACATACACTATTTCTATTTGTGGCCTAATCGACTCCATCAAAACCCTGAGTATTTTCAATTGCTAAGAGGAGTTTTTCCCATAAATCTTCAAATGAGTCATATGGAGGCAAATCCAAGCGATTAAAGCTGGAAAACAGAATAAAACCATTAAGTTTCTTTTAAAGAGTTTTACTTGTTTCAGCACATGAAAAAATTATATAAATTAAATGATGATTTACCAAGTATGAGCTCTTGGCAGTTTTTCAGGGGTGCCCCACTGTTCGATTGTAAACAACTGTGGTCCATTTGAACCTACAAGAAAGCAGCAATGATTTAAATCTCACGTCCTTCTGCTTAAGGTGCCCTGCCTTCATACTGCAGTTGTATCTTTTTGAGATTTAAACATATCCAGCAGATAACTCTTATTTTGGAGTAGAATGTCTAATAGAATTTGAAGCTGTATACTGGACTCAAATGTAGTATATATTTCATAAGTCAGTGATTCCATGAATCTGAATTTTCAAAACAGTTCTAAACATACACTTCAAGATATTTCATCCCTCTGATACTGAAGTGCAAGGATGCATATAGAACCATGTGAAATAAGGGTGTAAGGGATATTGACGGGGTCACCCAAACCAACCCTCTACCCCAGGCAGGATCATCTATTTAAAGAAGGCATGGCCAAACCATGGTTCACGAGCCACATGCGTCTCCTTGGGCATTTCAAACACAGCTCCTCAAGTCAATTGTTAAACAACAGGTTACTGTGCACAGCACCCAACTCTGAAGAACACACATCTTGCAAGTTCTATGTCAGCGATCTCCAACCATTTTAGGTCGGACATCACTTTTGGAATTTAAAAGGAAGTGAAGATCTATCCCCGCCTCCCCCACCCAGCAGGTAAGTTTGTGGGGACGGGAGGGTGGAGGGCAGTGGTGGGGGAGCGAGGCAGATAGAGGCCCCAGCCCTAGCCCCACTCCCTCCCTCACCGCTGGGGCTGGATCCCCCGCATGGGGCTGGACCCCCCCCCCCCCGAATGGCAGGGAAGTAGGAAATGGGGCAGGTCCTGCACAGCTGTCACAGGCTGGGTCACGGAGCCCTGAGTGGTTCATCTGGGGGTGTAGGGAGGGGGGGCCCCATAGCCTGGGAGGGCATGTGCCCCCAGATCTCCTGATGGGGCAGGGCAAGCTGTGTTCTGGGGCCAGGGTGGTGCTGGCTCTTTCTGGCTGGGCTGCAGCAGCGGTGGTGCTGGGAGCAAGGCCACAAGGGCAGGAGGGTAGCGCCCCCAGCCGCCGTTCCCAATGCTGTCACTGCCCACCCCAAGCACAAGTGCAGACAAGGCCCGGCGAGAACAGCCTAGTGCAGCTTTCCAGCCCTCAGCTGCAGCCCAGATAGGAAGAGCTAGCGCTGCCCTGGCCCCCGAGTGCAGCCCACCCTGCCCCACTGACAGATCTGTGGGCATGCACCTCCCCCCGCACGGCCTCCCAGGCTGTGTGCCCCCCTCCCTGAATTCCCCAGATGAGCTGCTTGCAGCTCCATTCTCTGCCCCGTGCTGGCTGGGCCGCGGCTGCCCCTACCCCACCCCCCCCCCGGGCGTGTTGTAGCCACTGCCCCGCATTTGGAGGAGGGGCACGTGACCCCCTGATTTCTGTACAGCGGAGGCAGCTACCGTTATGGGCTGGGCTTTGTGCCCTGAGCCTCGCTGCACGTGCCCCCCAAGGCTCTGCCCCTTCCCTCCCCTACCGACTGACCTGCTGGGCTGGAGGGGGAAAGGAGGGGGGTGCGCGTTGCATGCAAAATGCCTCCACGTGCCATGCTTTGGCATGTGTGCCAGGGGTTGCCTACCCCTGTTATAGAGGCTAAAGTGCTCATCCTAAACATTAACCACTGAATGAAGTTACTGAGCATTCCAAGGTCTAGAGCAGAAGTGGGCAAAGTCTGGCCCACGGGCCGGCAGTGGACTTCATTTCCCAGCAGCCCCTGTCTGCATGACTGGGACCAGTCTCCATGGCAACACTAGCCACACCTGGCTGCTGGCTTGATCTACCACTTTGCCCACTCCTGGTCTAGAGCAATGGTGCTCAGGGTTTTGGCCTTGTGGGCCAGATGAATGGCACAGGGCTCCAGCTCCTGGGATCCAGCTCCTAGGGCCTCATGCTGCCCCCATCCACCCAGGATCTGGCTGTGGAGGCCCTTGCACTGCCTCTGCCTTGTGTCACCCTGTGCACCTGATCTAATGCTCAGGGTGATGGCCTGCAGGGCCCCCTGCAAGCCAGGTGTCATGACACCAGGGGCTAGATCTGACCCACAAGCCAGAGGTCTAGCAGGGGTCTAGCACCTCTGTCTAGTAAAATACTCTCCTCTGAATGTGAGGAAATGTTTTGAATAGAAACTTTCCTTCTGTTATGGAAGGATCTTGTTCTTCAAGATGTTTTTTTTACCACAGATCTTTAAATGAGGCAGACTAGACTGGCTAAATTTTGAAAGGCAAGGTTAGGGATGGTACCTTTTAAGTGGGAGAGATCTAAGACAAGTTTCTGGGCACAAGGATCACTTCTGAGTTCCACGAAAGAAGCAGACTTGAATTCTGACAGTAACTGATGCTGGACTTAAAAGGTCATTTTTCAATCCACAAACCACATACAAGGTGGTCAGATGCACCTGCAAACAAGTTTTCTGTCCAAGTCAGTGTGATCCTTGCTTCTCCAGCTTGCTTTAGGAAAAGGAGTTTTACATATTGCATTTATGGGGGTGTGGGGGTCTCCACATGTTCCAACTGAAAGAATCCACATTAAGTTGAGGAGAGGCTGAGGGACCTGAACCTGTTCAGCCTCAGCAAACGGAGGCTGAGGGGGGATTTGGTAGCTGCCTACGAACTCGTTAGGGGAGATCAGCAGCGAATAGGAAGGGTCCTATTCCCCCCAGCAGCAGCTGGGGTGACGAGGCACAATGGCCAGAAGCTGTTGGAGAATAGGTTCAGGTTAGAGATTAGGAGGCACTATTTCACTGTTAGGGTGGCTAGGATCTGGAACCAACTTCCTAGGGAAGTGGTCCTCGCTCCTACCTTGGGTAAATTCAAAAAGAGGTTGGATGAACACCTGTCTGGGATCGTGTGATCCCAGCGTGTGCTCCAGGCAGTGGCGGGGGGTCAGACTAGATGATCTATTTAGGACCTTCTATCCCCTAACTACTATGAAACTATGAAATTTTGCAAACCCAAACTTGCATATGAAAATGTTTCTGGTTGTAAAGAAATTTTGAAACCTGAATCAAGAGGATGCCAATTAAGTGTTACTCCTATGAGTCTGCAGGCAAACAACTCTAGTTCCTCTGCTGCTGCCAGCCTTGTTGAGCAACAGCATAAGATAAGAATTTTACAGACACCATTCATAACCCAGAAGAGAAAGTAAAACTAGAATCATTTCATTTTTATGCTGCTACTATTAAAGAAAAAACACAGATGCTTAGTGGAGTGTATAACTGAAAGAGACGTAAAGCAGAAAAAAGTTATTTCTTCTGCCAGCAGATCCTGCAAAAGAGTAAGAGAAAAAAATGCTTTTTCTCTTTTAGTAGGTGGGTAAAGTTTGAAATTTAGTTATACACCTCATTATCTGGAGGCTGATAAGACAGATGAATTTCAAGCACATTCCAAAGATGACACTACCTGTTTGGTATCCCTGTTCTCAATTGTGTGTACCCACTTTCTTCCTGGACCACTGAGGAGCTAGCTGCCTGTGTAACCACTTTTATGGGCAGGAATTCCTTTATCAGCCACTGGGGTGGGGGTGGGCTCAGACATGGGAAAGGTTCTAGAGATACATTTAAAAAAGACCATTAGGAGAGTAAATGCAGTAGGATCCTGGCAATAGCGAAAATCCACCTGGAGGGAGCAGCAGAAAAGAGCCTGATGTTGGGGAGTGGATCACTGCAGTTGTCCACATGCAAACAACAGAAACTGGGATGCCACAGTTGACATTCAGGAGTCACGGAGAAAAGGATTCTGCTAACCTCAGAGTTGATGACCCAAGCATTAAAAGGACACAAAGCAATTTTGTGAGAGTAGACAGCTAACCATGGAAGCCTCTGGAGAAACTAAAAATGGGCAGAACTACAGAAGGTGGGATTCACATACTGATCTTTGGGCAGAGAGAAATAAGAAGCCTCCTGTAATCTCTAACTGTCCCTTCCCCTTTGCATATATGGCAGAGTTCTAGTCTCAACATAGCTGTAAGATTGATTCTTTCACTGCTGTTTATATAAGCTGAAATTCTGAGATTGCAGAGGTGCAGGTACAGGAGCAGACATGTATGGCTCAGTGCTTCACTCAGCACTTGTTATACACTTAGAACTAGCAAGTCAATTAGCATATATGCAATGCTGCACTGAAGTATGGCCAAACCGACCCTGGGTCTGGAGTTAGCAGGTACAGAGCTAGCTTTAGTATCTCTACACAGTGCTGCCTTGTACCACAGACACACCCCTACATTTCTCACCAGGAAACTATATTTGAACCATATGGATGGCTCCTCATCCATTTGACTCTTGTCTTATGAATGATCTGCCTAATACGTTTTATCCTCAACAAGTGTTTGGCCAATTTTTCAGGACCTGCCAGGTATTAAACAGCTTTTTTTTTTTTTTCCCCCATAAGCTGCAGAAAAGTAGAATCAACTGTGGTATCTACAGAACATGGAGCAATATTCCATGCTTATGACACTTGTAACTTTGCTACTCATTAACTGCTGCTAAACTGGCTGAAGATTTATTTTCATAATTCTTTTAAACTGAAAAGTAATAGGTCCATGCGTAAGGATCATGACATTTTCAAGATCAATTTCCTTTTTAGTTCATTAATCTACTTCAGGAGTGTCAAAAATACAGCCTGTGGGTTGAATCCAGCCCATGGAGCTCCACCACCCAGCCCCCTGTGATTTCCCTGGGTCTGAGTTACCCCACACAGTGCATGCTAGACCAGCCCCATGTACAATGCCTGGGACTCACGCTACAGGTGGCATCTGCTTCAAAAGCTGCACTGCATGTGGTACCCACTCTGGCTGGTCTGGGACTGCACTGCACAAGGAATCTCCCCTGAGACCAGATGCACTGTGTGCAGTATGGGTCATGGACCAGCTAGAACAGGCATCACATGTCATGTGGATTCTGCAGCATGTGTGCTGGATCTGGCATGGAGGGGCAGGTCCATCTGCCTGATCCAACTCCATGAACCAGCCCTTGGCCTTCACAGGTCCAGACAAATTTGATACCCTGCCCCATTTCATTTTAGTGAAATGGTACTATAAGTACTTACCATATAATTCAGCAAATCCATTCATAGGTACACGGGATGTGCCAGTGACAAACTGAAGTAATCGTATCCGCTTTTCGGAATCCATCATCAACACTGCCTATATAGAGTAAGAATTATATTTAAAACTTCAGTCAAAAGAGTATAATATTATCATCTTAAACTGGTTTAGTACGAATAACATTATGTGATAGTGGTTTAGAATTAAAAGGATTCTATCTTTCACAATAAGTGTAAATCTATTTCTTTGCACACCGCTAAAACCTGAGAAGTCTACATGTTCTGATTGATTGTTTTGGCTTTCAATTCTTCTGTGGCACAGCAACAAGAACACTGTTACTACTTTAGCAGGCAGTTAAAATACAGCCCACCCAGATTTGGCTCCTACTTTCTTTGAAGCTTGTTGAGGTTACAGACTAGTAGACAGAAGCCTATATTAAATAGAAGAATTTAAACACCTATTTGCATAACCATGTCAAAGGGAGCTACAGTGAATATTTTTAACCCTAGATATTTATTCCTGAACAAGAGAAGTTATTTTATTATAACCTCAAACTAACTTTTCAACGGACAAAAATTAAACAGGTTATTAAAACACTTGATACATGAGAACAGCTGATCAATGTTTTAAAGTTTGTTTAATTTGCATAAACAGAAAATTAGATCTTTGTTACCTTCCAAAACCACTGTATAACTTGGTGATTTATGCTGTAGCCATTTTTGTATTTTGTATGTAGTTTCCAGTCAGCCACATCCACATCTCCTAGTCCACACATTAATAACTACACAAATAGAAATGTCAAAATGTAAGTCAACCAAATATGGTTACAACATGATGTGTTTCCATTTCCAAAAGACACTTACCTCTAATTCATTTTCATCAAAAATTTTGATTAGGTCCTGTGGTATTAGTTCAAAAAATCCCTAAAAGAAATAGAAAAAGTGTCTTAAAACCAAGTAATGGCATTTTAGACTTCTTTTTAAAGTAACACCTAGATGCACATACTTTGGGAATTAGAGACAAGATGTTGCTTTAAATACAGGACTTTTTGACACATCTGTGCCACAATTTTGGGGCAAGTTATGCTTGATTACATTCTACAAGTTAAGGGGGTCAAAGTAGCTGAACTATTATCATTAGTTTTGACCAGACTTTATTTGCTAAACACCATTCCTATATTGCACTAATGCAGAACTTGAATTTCTTCATGAAGTTCAGGTTTATTTATTTATTTATTTTAACAGAGAGAACTAGCTTCTTCCTTTTGCTACATAGAAACTGTTGTGCAGTTAAATCCTCCCACCCTGGTAAATGCAGCAAAATTGCTTACACATGTTAAAAGACAAGTACATCTTTTTACTAACTTGGTAATGCAGTTAAAGAAGATCAGGAAAGTCAACAAAATATGACCAATTTATTCTTCTTCAACAATAAGATTTTCTGTGAAACCCTGAACCAATTATTACTGAGTGTCATACTTAAAAATATTTGCAGAAAAGAGAAGAAAATTAGTCCTAGTAAACTTAATGTGATTGATTGTTCAATAATTTAAAATGTATAAACTGATTTCAGGGTTGATACAAAATGTACTACAGCTAGTACAGTTCACCAGGATTTAGCAGTAACTAAATTTTCAGCATCAGTTGAGACAGCAAAGTACATTTATAATAAAAATGCTGCTGCCAGTTGCAGAATATTGGTACACCATTGAAAGATTCACAAATCTGACACCCTGGGCAACATCAGGCTAACTTTTTTGCTGCTAGATCCCTAGTCTACGGGATCTTTATGAGGATGCTTTCCAAAAGGTCTATCCTAATATTAGGTGCAACAAATTTAAAAAATAGTATGTGTATTTAAAATGAATACCTCCTTAAAGGCAGCCATTTGTTTCTGGACTCTGCTCACAAACCTCCACTGAATTACAAGGCTGCAAAAAACAAAAACAAACAAACAAACAAACAAAAATTTATATTTGAAATACATGCAATGCATACACATTCTAATTCACTGAAAGGATCAGTGAAGCAAAACAAAGACATGGTATTTAGAGAGACTACAAAAAAGCCAGATACCCAGGACAAAATGTCCAGTACTTACTGAATATAGTCTCGCTTGTTCTTGTTGGTAACTACTATTTCTGATCCACCACTTTTCAAATCATGCTGATGAGTCTAAAAAAGATATACTGAATTATATGAAATACACTTAACAGAATTCAAGAATAAACATTAGATCAGGTGTTGGCAAAGGGGTGGGGGGGAAGGTCCTAGGGGGTACGCATGGGTGTGTGGGTGGGGATGGAGCACTGCACCCACCACCCTGCACCACCATCATCCAATAGCAGGGCCGGGTGGGAGACATGCAGCAGCCGTCGCTGCCACCCACCACCCTGTGCTGCTGCTGCTCTGTCTCTGGCCATGCACCACCCCACACCCCCCCGCATCCAGCTGCCGGGGGTACACTTATTAAAAAAAAGGTTGAAAACCCCTGCATTAGATGATATAGTAAACTCTTCAGTACTGGAGAATCCCAAAAGTGTAACAAATGAAGCTAGTTTCACAAGAGACCACTTGAAATAGTTGTGTATTTTTGTTGGGGAGGGGGAAGTTGCATTTAAGTGGTAACAGACTACAACAAGAAAACTCTATTTCTGACTCAACAACAGTAAATCACTTCAACATCTGTACACAGGTTTAGAGTAATATTGTATATTATTTTGTCCTAACTTCACTATCTATGCTTCCAGTGACTCAGCTTCTTTTGTGAGATGTCTTGGAAAAAACACAAAACAACTACAGTGTTTTTAGTGAACAGTGGATTGACACACATTTGTTACATAATGGCTACTATTACTGGAATTTCAGTATAAAACTGCAGCCTGTTATGCATCTATTGTTTTTCCCCTCTTTAAGGACTAGCCCACACAGAAACAGAGCTACCATCATTCTTACAGCTGGCTGACCACTGTAAACTGGGATTTTTATGCAAGACCAGCGTTGGACCCATGCTATCAAAAATCAGAGAATAACTGCATTTTAGAATACTTCAGTCTGCAGAAGATTTCACTACAAATGCCACATTTCAAAAAGGTAGCTGCTAGTCAGACAAAAGCATAAGTTATTATATCTAAGCCTCGCAAAAAGTTATATGGACATTTTATGTACCAGGACTAGTGCCCTTCCTGAATAGTAAAACACTGATGCAGGGGATTAATTGGATTTAAAAGAAGCTGGTTTAAAACAAGTATTCCTCAGTAATGTCTCAATTCACAATATTAACAAAATATTAAAAGAAAATGTATCAGCCAAGCAAGAGGTAAGAGGAACAAACCAAGAATTCAAAAGTGCATATTTAATTACTATGCTATCTTGTAAACAGAAAGACTACTGTTTCCTAGGATAAGTGCCTTATTTCATGTACACCATTTTACAGCAATATACAAACCTGTCCAAATAGTTCTTCATCAACCATAAACCTGAGGTCCAATTCTGCTGGGTCATTTTCAAGAATCCATTTCAGAGAATTGTAATATTCACTGTCCTAAAAATGATAATTGAAAACTAATGATTGAGAACAGAAGGATTATTTGAAATAGACAGTAAACAAACCCAATGTTAGTGAAGGCCTGGAAGTCTGTATTCAGTAAATACTTTTTGTAGGAGTAACTATTTATAGCAAGAATTTCTTAGAGTGATATCTTATATTGGACCAATGGTATAGTTGGGATAAAGTTAAACAAGCTTTCGAATGAGAGACAGTCTTCATCAGATCTGAGCAATAAAAGCCAGCATAACATAGTAAAAAAACAGTTGTAAGAAAGGGAAGAGAGATTTGCAGGCGTGGCAGACATAACACTAGAGAAGAAAAGCAGCTGATTACTGGGAGATCAAGGCATATCAAAAAGGGAGGAGGGAAGAATGTATAGGAAGAATTCAGGAATCAGGTAGGTTACGATGTGCTAAAAAACAAGTATCAGCATTAAGTTGTTAGAGTCCTTAGTGACCCACCAGCATATGAATTTTGGTTCCCAAGTTTGCCTTTTAAAGGTGTCAGGTGGATTTCCCTTGAACATGAAGATAGTAAGGTCAGAGAGTAAGTTTTCTGGGAAAAATGTGCTCTTATTGGTGTACGTGCATCTGTCCTTCATATTTTTTTTGTGAGAGTTCATTCTGGTGCACAGTTGCTGTTTAGTTTCCCTTCATAGTAGTCATGAGGGCATTTGGTACATTGAATTAGATATATCATATTTGGGGAAAGGCATGTGTAGGAACCACAGATTCTGATGGTTTTGTTATGGGGGGAGTAAACTAATAGCAGGAGATGTGTTGACAAGTTAAGCATTTCTTGCTAAGGCAAGGCTGTGTCCCACTTGATGTCTGTTGGACAGTGCGGAATTTGCTTCTGATGAATTGGGCCAGATTAGAGGGTTGTTTAGCCAGGAGTAGAGGGGCTGGGAATATTTTTCTTTAGGTCTGCTCTGTGTTGACTGTAGGCTTTACAACTGATACTTCCTTCAGAATTGAATACTATGAAAATAAGTTTCAGTACTATGAAAGTAAGGTACAACTCATTGTTTCTTGGAAGGCATGACTATCAGTGAAATGCTCCAAACAAAACAGTGTGTAATTTTGAAATTAAAAGAAGAAAAAAAATGCTTTGACCTATTTTTCATTTTGTTTCATGCAATATGAATGTCTCTACGTATTTCCTGATGCTGAGATTTTCCTCCATTTTCTTTAACAACTGCTCTCACAGGCCAAAACAAACTGGATGGTACTACTCCCCTTCCTTGGAAATTTCAGCGCTATTCCTTATTCATCAGCAGGATAGAGTTACAACCATCACAAGTTAGTCCTTCCTTATAGAGCAGGGATGGGCAATTATTTGGGCTGGAGGGCTACTTAAAGAGTTTTGATGAGCCGTTGAGGGCTGTCGACATGCCAATTGATCCTATCCAGCCTGCCAGCTGCCACCGAAGCCCAAGGAGGAAGGGCTGTGTCACTCCACTCTGTCGCAGCTGAGGACAGGCCACGCAGTGTATAGACTCCTCTGCCCCTCCCTCCCTCCCTTCCCCCTTGCGTCCAACCCCCGCCCCACCCGCCCGGCTTCCTGTTGGCGTTGTGCAATCCTGGCACAGCAGCCACTGGCAGCTGGGCCCACACAGGATTGGGTGCAATGCAGCGGTCCAAGTAGCTGTCCTACCCACCCGCTGTGATGAGCTACTGCTGCCATGCTGCACCAGGAAAGGCAAAGGCAGAGGTAGCTGCCCCACCATTGCAGTGGCTCATTGCAGTCAGCAGGTGGGACAGCTACTTGATGCGCTGCATTGCACCCTGTCGTTCGTGGGCCCAACTGCTGGTAGCTGCATTGGCAGGACTGAACAGCTACAGAATCAACAGAAAGCTGGGCAGGGGTGGGGATGGATGCAGGGCAGGGGGAGGGAGGGGTGGAGGAGTCAGCATGCTGTGTGGTCTGGCCCAGGCTGCGGCAGAGTGGAGCGCCATGGGTCGCAGCCTTCCCTCAGACTCATGGCAGCAGCTGGTGGGCTTGATGGAATCAATTGGCAGGCTGGATATGGCCCACGGACCATATTTTGCCCACCCCTTCTATAGAGGAATCATGTTCAAAGCAGCATTATAGCATTGAGGAAACATTAAACAAACTGATACCTCCACAAAACCACCATGTGCAGATGCAGCTGTATTCTCTGAAATGTTAGAGTGCATGGGCTAACTGTTTTTATTCTTCCTGCTTTTATTTCTCCTCCAGACACTCCTGCTGCAGTAGAGCTTGTCAAACCACTTGCAAAAAGTTACACGGACATTTAAGACTGATATGCAAACTATGTGTTCTGGTCCAACTTTGATTTTAGAGTCTTTTACTGATGTCCTGAGACTGCCTTAAGCTTCCTGGAGGAAATAGCATCATATTTTTGTCTGCCTCTTTTCAGAGTAATACCAGGACTAGCACCCTTTCTGAGTAATGAAACACTAATGCCGGTGATTAATCAAGTTTAAAAGGAGCTGAAAGGTTGCAGTGGCATCATGGCTCACTCAAAATCAGGCTAAAGTGGGTCTGACCCGATATCTGAATCTTCTATGAAGGTCTATCCAAATCCATTAAAACCCATCACTGGTTGTTTCCAGAGGGAACAGCTTCAGCTTCTTTCGCTAACCTTCTGGGTACTCATTAGAGGACTTGCAGATGAAGCATCAGACCAGAGTTTGGTGGTGTAAAGCACAGGGCACTGGGAGTACCAGACATTTGTGGGCAGAGCCACATCACAAAATGGGTAGAACTTAAGTCTGATAATTTCAGACCAGCCATTATTTTTACCAAAGACAGACTCTTGAACAATAAGGTTGTATAAGAGCAGAGTTATCCTGAATATAATAAATCTTTTCTCTACTTTATTCTAAAAATAATGATCTAATCCCAATTAGCTAAGAAAACCTACCAGCACTAAACTAACACTAATAAACATTTTCTTAAAAGCAAGAAAAAATGTGGTGTCTACTTATTAATAGTGCAGAAAATGTATTCTCCAGAACTCCATTCTGCAGCCATGAGAAGAAGGAAAGAATTGAGCGTGGAGTTACAACTGCTTCCCTCTATGTACTGGGCTAGTGGTGCTCAGCTTTTGGCCCTGCAGGCCAGACGAATGGTGTAGGGCCAGTTCATGGGTTGAATCAGGCTCTACGCTGCCCCTGCCTGGCCAGGATTGGGCTCCAGGACCCCATACTACTCCTGCCCAACCTGTGTGCTACCCTGCATGCCCAATCTAACATACAGGGCCCTGGCCCACAGGGCTCCTCACAAATCTGAGAAGCCCCATGGGCCAAGTAACAGTGCTAGTGGCTGGATCCGGCCCATGGTCCAGGGATGGAGCACCCCTGTACTAAGCTAGGGGGAACGAGATGCAGATGCAGCCTCAGATGACTCTGCTATTCAAAAGAATCCAGTCTTATGTGCACTGAATTTGTGCATCAGTCACTGAAACAAGGAGCCAAAATTAATACAGTTTAAAACTGAAGTCCTGAAGCATCTTCAAGGCTTGCACAATCTTGTATTAAGGCAACAAAACTATAATAGCCACAACACTCTATGCAATAACATTATACTTTAGATAAGGAGTGCTCAACCCTTGGCCTGCAGGCCAAATCTGGCCCCTGGTGCCATGTCATCTGACCTGTAGGGCTCCCCACAAGCCTGGGGGGAGCCCCACAGATTGTGGCCCTGAGCACTAAATCAGATGCACAGGTTGCATGAGGGTCCGGGGCCTGAGCTTGGGATGTGTGGCTGGGCAGTGCTGGGCCCCCATGCTCAAGCCTGGTGTGCAGGGGCAATGCAGGGCCCTATGGCCCAGTCTAGATTGTAGACCAGCCCTGTGCTACTCATCTTGCCTACAAGGATAAAACGTTGATCACCACTACTTTGGACTCCTAGCAGTGCATTTCTTTTCTGTTGCAACTAGAAAGGGTCTGAGAATGAGGCATAGTAGATAATTTGGCCTCTGATCGCTAAAGATGGAATCCCAAGTGCATCCAAATTTAAGCCAAAACTTGGTATTACTATGGAAACAAAACTTAATGAAGGACAATACTTTTGCACTTTTAGCATTCATTGTAAGGGAGGAGTGTTACTTATAAAGATTCTTAACATCATGGTATGATAAGATCATATGTTACTTTTAATGACCAAAATGCAGAAAACCAGTTGTAGGCGGCAGGAATAAGACCGAAGACCCAATTCTTGGTCCTTTGTAGTAAGAGACTACACCACGTTGCTGTGTTAAATTAAGCAAACAACACGATGTTCCGTGCCAAATTTTCTTTAAAGGTTAATGTATTTAGCCTTAGATGCAGCTGCCTTTCAGTAAAACTTGGATATTAAGCCACTTAGGCTGCTGACAGACATGAAAAAACAAAAACCCACACTTTACTGGAAAAGGCAGTGTGTGTTAGTTTGACCTTGCTCTGAAGCATCTATATAGATCGCATGCTTCAGCGGGCCTATTTGGTGCCTTTATCTAAATCTAATTTAATCAACTATTAGATAAAAGCACCATAAAAGCTCCACTGAATCCCTGATCTATATAAGGTTGTGCGAGCCTGGTCCTACTAATGCAATGCCTCTTCTGGGCATGTGCTGGGCTTGGCACAGGGGCACGCCAAGTTTAAATTGCCATGGTTTTTTTGGGATATTGGTTGTAGCTGTATTGGTCTAAAGCAGTGGTTGCCAACCAGTGGATCTCGATCCACTGGTAGATCTCAGAGCCTCTTAGAGTTGATCCAAAGCTGGGGTGGTGGGGCTGAGTGCTCACATGCATGCACACATGCACCCCAGCCCAGCAGGTCTGTCCATGGGGGAAGGAAGGAAGGGGGCCCCCACGGCGAGGGACGGTGTTGCAGAGGCAGGAGCAGGGGGAAGTGAGTGGGGCCCCGGCTGGGTGGGACCTACCTGCTGGGGAGGCATGCCCCCAAATAATTTTTGATTATTGCCTTGATCTGACCCCTGACTCCACAGACTTACCTGCTGGGCGGGGGGAGGGTGGCAGCAGCACATGGTAGATCTTGGGTTGCTTTTAAATGCCAACTGTGATCTACCTAAAAAGGTTGGAGACCACTAGTCTAAAGGCACAGGCAGACAAAACTCTTGGGGTAGAGGTGATATCTTTTATTAGACCAACTAAATAGCTGCAATTTTTTGTTTGTTTGTTTGGGGGGGGAGGTTAAACATCTGTAAGCAGCCTTTGATGTTTATGAAAATTTTATTCAAACTGTTGTGTTTTAAAAAGCAACACTGTGAAGACTGAAACTGTATTTTTGAGATAATATTAAAAATCTATTGTAAATACAAAAACCCAGTATAATACACAATGGCAGAAGTAATTACATACCACAGATTCCATGTCATGAAGCGTTATTGGTTTTTGAAGCATCATCTTGTAAAAAGGCCGAATAAAAAAGGCTACAAAGAGAGTGATGAATATTTAATGTTAGAAAAATATCAAATCTTACAAAGTCAAAATATTCACAATATTAATCTGCATTATTCTTCAAAACAAATACTAACCATCCAAAAGCTTGCCATGGTAAACAGCCATTCCAGCTACACGACCTATAAATTTGAAGTAAGAGAGATGATCTTCATTGCACAAGCCAGAATTTGGATTGATCTGCAGCGTATAGTTATCTCTGGAGAAGAAGGAGGAAAAACACATAACAGATGCGCAATTCTGTACTCCATGAACCACCACCACATCTCATAATTTGAAAGAATTAGCTATTATAATAAAGTCACCCTTTGCAGAAATACCCAAACTTCCTGTTTGGATACATAGGTTGTTAGTTTAATACAAAAACATGTTCACCTGGAAGTTTAGTAGAATTGCAATGTTGAAACACTAACAGAAAGTCTAAATGAATTTATTGCTCCATTGAAGTTAATGGCAAAACTCCTATTATTTTAATAGGGTCAGGATTTCACTGTATGGGGTTTGTAATATCTTTCCTCTCTAAATATTTTCCTTCATCTTTTACTCAAGCATGCAACAAACAAAAATTAAATGTAGAAGAAATGCTCACATGGCTACAAGCTGCCACTCATTTATACAAAGACTGAGTACCACCTCAAGGCTAGACTCTGAAGCGCCTGGGAAACATGACCCAATCGCTCCCTAGTGATTCACAATTTCAGTCACCCAAATGAGGTAATGTAGGTGACCTACAGGGCCCTTGAGCATGTTCTCCTGAGTTGTTCTCAGGCTTAGTGCTTCAGCCACACTTATGAGCCTGTTCTCAGGCTGTATTCTGAAATGGTTACAATGCCTCATCTCTGGGATTTGACAGGCAGAGCAGCAGTGAGTGGATGAAATGTATACCATAGGCAGTTTGGACAAGCTCTACATTATTGTAGACTGCCTTGCAATATAGGGTCATGCTCTCTTGCCAAATGAATAGTACTTCAACACCAAACCTTCAGCAATTACTAATAAAATGCTCTAAAATAATTAAATATATTTTGTAAAGTTAGTGTTAGAGACGTAATTTGAGTTGCCTTTCCCAGCCTCTTCTTACTTTTTGGAACTGTACTACTTACGTAGCAGAATATTCAAACAATCCATAATAGGGATTAAACATTTCTTTAGAGAGAAGGAAGAACCATTCCCTTGCCACTCCTCCATAATCTAATCCTTTTTCACCATCAAACTCGATCCAGAGTTTTGCTTTAAGGAATTCTGCTCTTTTTACAGCTATAATTCTTCTATAAGAATCTTCAAGGATTGTTGTGCGATGAACTTTCATTTCAAACCTATTTGGAATATCACTCTGAAAAGGAATAGAAAAAAAAACACAAAAAAACCAAAGCAAGTTGTTACCTGGTTATACTAATGCAATAAGGCACAATCAGATGTCTTGCAAGTGTCTTTAGACATGTTGGGTGCGTCCAGACAAGTGTGCACGTGCCTCTTGCCCCACCTCAAACCCCTTTGAGGTGGGGCAAGGGGCACGTGCAAGAACGAAAAAATGTTCCCTGCGCTGCAAGGCGCCGGCAGGACCCAGCTGGGCCTGGTATGTGGTCCCTGCGTGCTGTGCCAGGTTCTGCCACCAAGGACCCAGCCCAGCTGAGTGGCAGAGGGGCCCCGAGGGCGGCAGGTCCTGCCACCAAGGGCCTGGCCCGGCCCAGCAGCAGAGAGGCCCCAGGACCCGGCTGGGCCCGGCATGCAGTCCCCATGTGTTGTGCTGGGTCTTGCCAGCAAGGGTCTGGTCCCGCCAGGTGGCCGGTGGTCCCCAGGGCCAGCAGGACCTGGCTGGGCCCAGCGCACAGTCCCTGTGTGTCGTGCCATGTCTTGCTGCCATGGCTCAGAGCGCCCCACTCCTGCTGCTGCTAAAGCTAAGTTATGGGCCCTGGGTGGAGAGGGGCTGTGGCCCTCCAGGGGGAGCTGGGACCCTGGGTGGGGAGGCTGGGGTCCTGGGCGGCAAGGGGGCTGTGGCCCTCCAGGGGGAGCTGGGACCCTGGGCGGGGTGGGGGCATTCCATGTGCTGTTGGGGGGGGCTGCACCCTGTGGGGGCCAGGGGACCCACCCCTTCTGAGCACTCCCCCAACCCACAGTCCCTCCAGCAATCACACCTCCCAACATGCCTCCATACACACTCACCCGCCTTCCCCCACACCCTTTCCCGCCCCCTTCCTGCAAACACCACCTCCCCCCATCACACACCCATCATGTATGAAGAAAGCCAAAAGCACACATCAACACATATAGGTATTTAGAATTTATTTTATCATGATGATAGAGACACTGGTAGGATTCCACATTGCTTTAACACTGTAAATATACCTATAAAGCATTGCCCAACTGATTGCTCTCTCTCTCTCTAGGGGTGTGTGGTCTTTTGTATTAATTGTGGAAAAACATGGATTTTGGGGTATTTTTAAAAATGGATGCTGCTGCAGCAGTCCAGCTGGCACAAGGGGTAGCGTCCCCAGGTACCAAGTGGCCGAGCCCCAGAAGCTCTGGAGAGCGAGTAGCCCTGAGCTGCTTGCCAGGGCAGCTTTTTGTCCTGCTGGGGCCAGGGCAGGGCAGCTTTTTATACTGCTGGGGACAGCACAGGTGTGGCCCCAGACACTAGGTCCCCCTGGCTGCAGATCCGGGAGGAGCCAGGCAGGGTTATTTTGCCTCAAGTGGGACAATTTGCTCCACAACGAAGTGCATGTCTGAGCACGTGCACTGAGGCAAAGAGTCCCAGCTCAAATTCGCACCACTTTTATTTGAGTTGCTGCAAGCGCATGTGCTTGCATGTGTGGACACGCCCCTTCTTTGAAGATGCAAGAGAACATGGTTAAGAAAGAGTCTCTAAATTTGAAAGATTAAGCCAGCATGGAGATTTTTACATAGCATGTACTACTTTTCCCATAAGGAAGTCATGTTAAAATAAATGCGTATTAGGGTGCATCCAGACGAGCGTGCACGTGCCTCTTGCCCCGTCTCAAACCCCTTCGAGATGGGGCAAAAGGTCCTGTGTGGGAATGAAAAAAATGGATATCCAGGGGTCTAAAAAAAAAAAAAAAATGGAGTTTAAAAAAAGCAGGGCAATCAGAGGCTGGGTCCTCCACAGAGACTGGCTGCTAGTGTCTCTATGGTTGGCTCCTTGCCCTGGTGCTGAACCACACAGCCTATTCATCAGCAGTGTGCTGCAGCACCAGGGCTCCAGTGCTGGTAAGTAAGGGGTTGGGGGGGCTGGAGAAGGGGAGAGGGGACTATGGGGGGGATCCTCACTGGCCCTACCCACT